TCACAAAAGTAGATAAATTCCCTTTAATATCTCCAACTTGGCTCCCAATGTTCAGTTATCTTCGGCTGGAGATCAAACTCTTCCAAAAACAGTCTACAAAGGGTAGAAATCAGGAGTGGGATACGACAGGGTTAACTACCAGTTCGGGATTTATGAACTTCCCTGCACACTGTGAGCCATGCACCTGTAAATCGTCATCAGCATGCTGTGTGCAGAGACGCAGCCTTTGAAACAGCCCTGTTTTCCTGCTTTTTCAACTGCAGCTGTGCCTCGTTCGGCAGCTGAAGTTGAAAAATCAGGAAATAAAGATCAGGTAAGAGCCTGGGTGGACAGGCGGGCAAAAACATCAGCAGACATAGAACCAGTTCTATGTCTGCTGCTCTTCAGAGCTACCGGTACTACAGAGATGGACAGAAGCAGTAGAAACCCACCCCTACCAGAAATGAAGTCCAAACCCCAAGTAAAGACAAATTGGAAATAAAAAAACCAACACAAACACGCTGAAGTAATTAACACAATTAGCCAGATGAATATCGATGGATGCTGGTAGGCAAGGCACAATTCCCCCCTCCTTATTTTCCACCCCCCAAACTAAGCCCAATCAAATAGTTTTATAGTGAAACACAGATATAGAGCTAATTGGTCATAAGTCCCCTTTTTCAGGTTGGTCGTAACTTAGAGCAGTCACTAAGTGAGCAGGTCATAAATTGAGTACGATCTGTATACGGATTAAAAAGTTGACTGAGGTTTACCTTTTGAGACAAAACAGGGTTCTTCAAACATGGTTTATTGGTACAACACAACTCCACACTGTAAATCTTGGTCAATAAAGGCCAGCGGGTTGGAATTACAAAAAGCTGAAAAGGCAATGGTTTCGTGTAATATTTAGTGCAATACAAGTGGCCTTTGCTTAATGGCTTCCCTCTTTTAGTGGCCATTCAAACTTATATGGCAGTGGACAAAATAGTCTTGGTTGCCACAAAGAAGAACGGGTCAAATTATTCTCCAAAGCACCTGAAGGCAGAACAAGAAGCAATGGATGGAAACTAATCAAAGAGAAAAGCAACCTTGAATTAAGGAGAATCTTCCCAACAGTGAGAACAATTAACCAGGGGAACAGCTGGCCTCCAGAAATCATGGGTGTTCCATCGCTGGATGTTTTTAAGAAGACACTGAACAGCCACTGGTATAGGACAGTATAGGAATGGTATAGGAATGATATAGGACAGGGGTGTGATTCTACCAGTTTGCACCTATTCGCTAGAACTGGTTGTTAGTATTCTAAGCAGTTTGGAGAACCGGTTGTTAGAAGAAATTACTGGCCTAATCCTGTAAGGAAGGCAGGAAGGAAACATTCTGGTGTTGCTTACGGAAACTGCCTCTCCATTAAGCCTTATTTTGGCAGGACTAGACTTCCTGTCTCAGGAATGTCTCTGGAGTTTTTTCCCCCTCCTTTGCTAGTACTTTGTTTGTGTGGAGTGACCATTCAAAGTTACAATGGCACTGAAAAAAGTGACTTATGACCATTTTTCACACTTACAACTGTTGCAGCATCCCCACAGTCACGAGAGGCTAGGCGAGGAGATGCGTGCCTTGATGTGAGTGATATTGAGTTGGCCACACCCATCAATAACATGCCCACCAAGCCATGCCCACCACCTAAGCCACGCCCACAGGACTGATTGTTAAAAAGTTTGAATCCCATGCCTGGTATAGGGTCTCCTGCTTGAGGAGGGGGTTCGACTAGAACAGGGGTCACTAACCTTTTTGTCTTCAGGGACCACCAAATTCATAATTTTAAATCCCGCGGACCAGAGACCCTGGGAAAATCCCCCCAAAATCTGCAGGAAAATTCCCCGCCCTGTTTTCCTACCGATCGATCATTCTTTACTTAGGATTGCAGGATACCATCTTCTGCTCCGTTCTCAGGGGGAGAGAGAGAGAGACTTTTGGCTTCATGCAAGGAAAGCAGCAGAAGCAGCAGAAATCTTTCTCTCCCTCAAACTCTGCCAGAAATGAGTCTTTGTGAGACTTGTCACGCCAGCATAGCCTCTTCGAGCAGGATGCCTTGCAGGTTCCCAAAGGCTCATTTCTGGCAGAGTTTGGGGGAGAGAAAGAAAGACTTTTGCTGCTTTCCTTGCGTGCAGCCAAAAGCAGAAGAAGAAAGAAGTGGAAAGAAGCAGCCAGTGGCCAGGCCAGGCGCGTGGGGTGCTTGGGGCAAGTTCCCCCCTCCGCCCTTTCCCTCCTCCCCTCGCTACCTCATTCGCAGTGCAAGCAATGCAAGTCTTTTGTTCCCATAAAACGCCCATAAAAGTGATATCTGAAAGTAATCACTCTTAGAAGCAGCATTCAGATAATAGATAATCAGACTTGGAAGGGACCCTGTAGGTCATCTAGTCCAACCCTCCCACCCAAGTGGGAGTCCCTACACCATTTCTGACAAATGGCGGTCTAATCTCTTCTTGAAGGGCTCAACCGATGACGCTCCCACAACTTCCGAGGGCAACTTCTGTTCCATGGGTTGATTGTTCTCCCTGTCAGAAAGTTTCTCCTTATTTCCAGGTTAAATCTCTCCTGGTTCAGTTTTCATCCATTATTCCTTGTCTGGCCTACAGGAGCTTTAGAAAATAGCTTGACTCCTTCCTGTCTGTGGCAGCCCCTCAGATATTGGAACACTGCTATCATGTCTCCTCTGGTCCTTCTCTTCACTAGACTAGCCAAGCCCAGTTTCTGTAACCATTCTTCATATGCTTTAGTCTCCAGTCCCTTAATCATCCTGGTTGCTCTTCTCTGTACTTTTTCTAGAGTCTCAACCTCTTTCTTAAAGTGTGGTGACCAAAACTGGATGCAGTACTCTAGGTATGGCCTTACTAAGGCTTTATAGAGTGGTATCGGTACCTCACTTGATCTCGATTGTATCCCTCTGTTAATGCAATTTAGGATTGCGTTAGCTTTTTTGGCTGCTGCTGCACACTGCTGGCTCATATTTAGCTGGTTGTCCACTAAAGACTCCAAGATCCCTCTCACAGTTACTGCTATTGAGTCTGGTTTCACCCAGTCTGCATGTGTCCTTTTGGTTTTTCTTGCCTAAGAAAGACATCAGCAAAAATGCATCATAAGGGTTCCTCTTCCAATTTCCCTTTCAGGCCACTGTCCCCCAAATTTAATCAACATTCCCCCTAAACACCACCTTCTTATCTCCATATTCAGTGTTCACTGAAGTACAGTATTTTTTTTTTTGAAAATATTCTTCATATGTTTCACCTGGAAGAAATTGAGGTTGCTTATTCCATTATAAGAATTTTTTTTTTAAAAAAAGCATTTTTGCAGCCCTACAGCTCAGTGTCAGAAACCTGATAGGTCTTCAGCACACATGGTAAGACAAGGTTCTTCTTCCCACACTTACTAAGTAGAATTTAATTGGCTTGCAAATGAAGAGGACTGGAAGTAACCATGTCACACAAATAGCATTGAAAGGCCCTGTTGAAAGCATGTTGTTCCCTTGCTGAAAAAAAAAATGCACATCAATGGAAACTACCTGTGTCAAAAACCAGGTCTCCAGTATTGTGATGGATGGATGAAAAGCCACTGTTGGGAGCACTATTCGAGTTGAGGTGATCTTGAGCAAAATGTTGTTTGGATTTCCCTTCCCTCTTTTTTCCTTCCTTTCTCCCTCCCTCACTCCCTATTTCTGCCATCTTCTTCTTTCCCTCCCTCTTTCCCTGCTTTCTGTCTCTTTCTCTTT